CTTGTCTCTCTCTCTCTGTCTCTCTGTCTCTCTCTGTCTGTCTCTCTCTCTCTCTTTCATTGACACCGAAGAGTTCAAGTTCCTGGGGCGAAGGCTGCATGCTGATTGCTCTGAGCAGACCCAGCAGGAAGACAACCGTCAACTCACTGTATCTCTCATGCAAAAAGTAGATGGCTCTTGGCTTCAAGACCACCACAAGCTATGGCTTTACCACCATCTTGTAGTGCCCAAGCTTTCTTGGTCTTTCCAGGTTCTTGAACTCACACAAGGTTTTGTACGTGAACTGCACTTTATGTGTTTGCCATTTCTGAAGAAATGGTCAGGCCTACCTCGATGCGCAAACTCTGCCATTCTTTTTATTGGCAGTCGCAAACGCTTTGGCTTACGCCTCCCCTACCTTCCTCCGGTGTGGAAAAAGTGCCAGTCCATCAAATGGCACATTCTTCGATCGAGTGGGGACGCGCGCATGAGGGCGCTGTACACTCTGCGTCGGAGTAAGGATGCGAAGCTGACAAAGCGATATGCGGCGACAATAGAGCTGGAGTGTGCTGAGGCATCAGTAGGTTCAGGGACTCTCCGTCCACCCCCCGTCATCTTCAAGTCATCGTGCAGGGTTGGGTGCTCGTGCTCCGAAGCAGCATTCCAACCCCCCCCCCCCCCCCCCCCGAGGAAGGATCTCCTTCTAACATTTAGGAGATCAACGCGCAGGAGCAGATTTTGAGGCTGAAGACTCTTCAGGTGCAAGGCAAGTGGTTGGAGTGGACATCGGTGATGTGGCAGGACCTCTTGTGGAAATCCCTTTTGTACGGTGGTACTGGTAAGGATTTGAAATTTCTTCTCGCATCAACCCTCAACGTGCTACCTTCTCCGACGAACCTACGCCGTTGGGGAAACACCGTAGTGGATCCGTACTGTAGTTTGTGCCGTGCCTGGGCCTGTACTACGCGCCACGTGCTTGGCGCTTGTCGCGTAGCGCTGGACCAGGGACGTTACACCTGGAGGCACGACAACGTACTCGGGGTCATCGTCAGGAACATGCGTGAGAAGATTCGAATCCGCACTGCTGCAAACACCGCACAAACCGAAAATTCGAATGAGCTTGACTTCATCTCGTTTTGCAAGGCGGGAGAGAAGCCAGTTCGCGTTCAGCCCAGACGAAAGTTGGTTACGACTGATCTCCTGTCAGCGACCTCAGACTGGAAACTTCTTGTTGACTCAGTTCGTGCAAAGATTTCTTTCCCTAGCTGTGTTGCACTTACCACCCTAAGACCAGATATAGTTCTGTACTCTACGAGTCTTAGGATTGTATTCTGGATGGAGTTGACAGTTTGTGCTGAGGACAGATTCAGTGTCAGTAACTCACGGAAGGACAGGCGGTATGCGGATCTGGCCGATCAATGCCGAGCAAACGGGTGGCAGGTCGTTTCTTTTTCGGTTGAGGTAGGTGTGCATGGTTTCATCCCGGACGCTCTTCGGAGGGCTCTGAAAGCGCTTGGGTTTTCTAATCGAAGAATAAAATTTATTTGTAATTTGTGCAGTAAGACGTCTCTGCGAAGCAGCTACATCATCTGGTTGCGACGTCAACAAAAACACTGGTCGGAAGATCCACTTTTCTGAAGTACTGTATGTGGGGCTCCGTTTATTGAGGTGTGTTGAAATTTATTCTCTTTATCTTATTATTTCTTTTCTATAATTTCCCCATATGAGTTCCTATCAGTTGCTGTGAACACCTTGAGTGGAGAGCGCTTGCTCGAGCGTTGAACCGGGTTCTTAATCCACCATACCCAGTTCGCAAGGCTGGGCGGGGTTGTGAGCAGGCTTTCATTTCATCTTTTCTTATTATTTCTTTTTATTTCTGCTTTTCATCTCATTACAAAATTCTGCGCATTTTTCTCCGTCTGCGCATAAAATCTAGACTGACAACCTGCTTGTTAAATCATGCGCCTGCTTTCAGGCGTAAAAACCCTGTTGTAGAGGTCTCAGTCCTCATTTGTTAGACTTACCTGTCTTTATAAATGTAACTTACTCTCTCTCTCTCTCTCTCTCTCTCTCTCTCTCTCTCTCTCTCTCTCTCTCTCTCTCTCTCTCTCTCTCTCTCTCTCTCTCTCTCTCTCTCTCTCTCTCTTTCTCTCTCTTTCTCTCTCAGCTGCTGGTGCATTCAAGACCATCTCGCAAGAGGAGTATGACCAACGGATTGCTGCCTACACTGAAGGTGATTTATTTTTCTCTGTTGCTCCTGTGGACATGGTGTGGATTGGGCATCAGTCCATTCTCTCTGGTGCTGGTGTCAGTAGTACTGCGACTGTGGTGTCCAAGTGGTCTGGGATGTTCTTATTTATTTTTCAGCAATCTGGCTGCGTTCCTGTAGCATGTTTGTAGTTACACACATTCTTAGATGCATTCTGTCCTGGATTGTACAGTGCTGCACAATGAAATCAATCAAACGAGTGGCTATCTAGATCATGGTGGATCTTGAAGTGGCTGTACGTATGTGTGTGTGTGTGTGTGTGCGTGTGCGTGCGTGCGTGCGTGTGTTATGTGTGTTGTGTGTGGTGTGTGTACTGTCACGCTGTCTGCTTGTGTTGCTGCTCCTCTTTGCTCTACAGCGCATGGAAGCCTGCCAGAGGACATGCTTCGATTGACCGTTGGAGGTGCGTTTTGGCCTGTCTAAACTCCTAATCTGTTTCCTGGGATATGGTGCCTGGTTGCTGAGTGTATTGGGGGTGCAGAAGGTATTCGTATTGACGATTTGTATGCCCGTGTTTGACTGGGGAGCTGAGAGTTATATTAGTATTTGCTCCCTGAATCTTCTGTGTTGTTTTGCACTGCTGCAGCGTGTAGAGTGTTTTCTATGTCTGCTGTGTATGATATCACTGTACAGGTGAACCGGTGTGGATTGACCCAGCTCTTAGTCCCGCTGGTAAGTTCACCGTGTGTCCAATGCCTAGCTATAGAGGGTGTGCCATTGCGTCATCAGTTGAGATAGATGTAACTTAGTGGCAAAGCCTCGGTGCAGCGATGCGATAGCTGGTTTGCCGCTTGAGTGAATGCACCGACTCACTCCGTATAATAATAATAATAATAATAATTTGAAACTCGGATGTTGAGCCATAAATAAATGTACTTGGTCCGTTTCATCGCAATTGTCGCTTATCTATCGCAACTAAGAACAGGAGTTTTTTTACCGCTCTGTGAAATTTCCAATACGCATAGTGAAGAAGCATGATACAGGATTCCTGTCCTGGCGTATAGCAGCGATGGGAAAGGAACAGTCGCTGTTGTCACTTTGGCACTGGGAGGAACGTGGGCAGCGTGACCCGTCTGTCACTACAGTACTGTGTGTTCAACAATGTTTTTGAATCAGGCACACATCCCTCTCCAGACAGCTGTCATACGCTCTGCTGGATACGCTGACCACGACTCTTGTACTGCCGCTGCCAGGTCGGACAATGTCTTCTTTGCCACCATCTCGCCATCAGTTTGCAGGCTTGCAAAGAATACCAGGTCATTGCAGTTCAAACATTGCAGTTCAAACAACTGAGCTGGCTGGCCTGGCCGTGACTGTCACGCTCTCCAGGTCAGGATGTCGATTTCCCCTGCTACAGTTCCCGTCTTTGAGCTGCGCTTGGATTTTCGCTGCAGTGAATGTGTGCATTCACTGCAGTGCATTCACTGCAGCGAAAAGTTTCCCACTTTCCCATCAAAATTGTATGAATCGCGATGCCACTGGCGCTAGTCGCGATGGTTTTTTTCTTTCTGGTCTCCTCTGATCTTGCCATCACAACCTCCCAAACGAATGTGAGTTAGATATCGAGATCGGACTGGGTTTCACCTGTCAAAAGGTGCGTGGGAGATAAGCGACAATTGCGATGAAACGGACCAAGTAGAAGAGAAAAGGACATATCGAAACGAGTTA